CATTCTTGTTAGAGTCAGTATATTTGTGCATTAAGCTCTTTAATATTCTCACTCTGTAACTGAGTCCTTCAAAAGGAAGTGTAAAATTAATATTATTTCAACTATGAAAAAATTTGTATGTTAATTCAACAACCTTTAACTTTATGTCACTTAATTGCTTACTGTAACTGCATGGAAATGAAACCAGATTCAGCTCTTCAGCCCATGAAGTATCGTGATCTGCACTTGCATTCCCTTCTGTTGCATGAGAAGGTAAAGTCTGATGGAGTGTAACACCAGCCCCTTCTCAAACCACTTACTGTGGCTTCCTAATTTGCTGTTGTAACTGCTATGGCACAAAAAGTCAAGAGAGACAGGAGAGAAGAAGGAGTGACATCAAAGCTAATAATTTGTATTACACATTATGACTGCTACTCTCTAATGACTGTATAGAGAGTCAGGCTCTGGCAGGCTCAACAGCTTAATTCTCCCCAATTATAATATAGTGATTTGGAGACATCTATTTCAAAACCTCTTATCAGAGAAATTGGTTCAGTCTTATTACCTTTATTTTGTGGTTATACAAGCTAATCCAAACAGGTAGAGAGATTTTTTGACGTTATGTTGAACGGGGAAAAAACACATAGAGCTGAACCCACCCAAGGGACCCAACCTTTAGTCTTCCCTGTCATAAATGATGGAAATTTCAAGAGTACTTCTATTAAAATCACGGAATGTTTTGCCCAAACTCACCATTAATTGAAGAAGAATGTACCTGTGCTCTGGAAAGCTTTTCTCCTGATGTTTCTGTATTTACCCAATGAAAACCTTTCTTCTTAATGGAAATTTGACCTGAATATTGGAAAGAAAATATCCATTAAAATATTATTTAAAAATATAATTTAAGTGAATATTGTTGTTTGGTGTTTTGATAAGAGTCACAGAATTTATAAAGGCAACTATTTACTGTTTACTGATTCTTGATAAACAAAGTAAATGAGTGAAAGAGTTTTTCCTTTGACACCTCAGTTAAAGCTCCCCTGTAGTTTGTGAGGGACAAGCTTGCTTTAAACAAACAGCTGCCTCCAAACAGCTTAAATTCTCTTTTCACATTAAAAATTTTAGAAATAGACCCACCAAAAGAAACGGGCCCATCAAACCAATGCAGAAGTGGTGAGAAATGGGTAGTAGTTTGAAGTCATTTCTAAAAGGAAAAGCTTATTATCAAAATGAATTGCTACATCTCAACTCTTTCACAAAGGCCTGCCCTCCTTATGGGCATAATTTCATGAATGTATCTGAAAATATGTCTCTTCTGTTGAAATAACAATTAAAAGGTCTACCTAAGTAGAGCAGTTTTCAGAGCAAGAGGCTAAAACATGCAAGAATATTCACGGTCACTCATACGAATTGTAAGATGAGAAATTTTTATTCACTGGAGGAATGAAAACAATATGACAAGGACTCATATTTGCAGCCTGGAATGTGTATTGGGTTTGTGTGGCAGGGTTTTGGTAGCAGGGGGAGGGTTTACGGGGGTGGCTACTGGATAGAGCCAATGCCAGCCGGCTCTAAGATGGACCTGCCGCTGGCCAAGGCCGAGCCAGTCATCAGCGGTGGATCCGCCTCAGTGAGAACATATTTAAGAGGAAAAAAAAACCTGCTGTGAACCTGCAGTGGAGAGGGGAGTGGAATGTGAGAGAAACCCCTCTGCAGACCCCAACATCAGTGCAGAAGGAGGGGAGGAGGAGCTCCAGGGTCCGGAGCAGAGGTTCCCCTGCAGCCCCTGGTGCAGCCCAGGGTGAGGCAGCGGTGCCCCTGCAGCCATGGAGGTAACAGGGGAGCAAGAGACACTCCCGCAGCCCGGGGAGGACCCCATGACAGAGCAGGTGGATGTGCCTGAAGGAGGCTGTGACCCCGTGGGAAGCCCACACTGGAGCAATCTGTTCCTGAAAGACACAGAAGAGACCCACACTGGAGCAGTTTGTGAAGGACTGCAGCCCATGGGAAGGACTCACAGTGGAGAAGTTTGTGAAGGAAGGTCTCCCATGGGAGGGACCCCATGCTGGAGCAGGGGAAGAGTGTGAGGAGTCCTCCCCTGAGGAGGAAGGAGCAGCAGAGACACCGTGTGATGGACTGACCACAACCCCCACTCCCCATCCCCCTGTCCTTCTCAGGGGGAGGAGGTAGAGGAATTTGGAGTGAAGTTGAGCCTGGAAGAAGACAGGGGTGAGGGGAAGGTGTTTTCAAAATTTTGGTTCTCTTTCTCATTATCCTACTCTGATTTGACTGGTAAAAAATTAAATTGTTTTTTTCCCCAAGTCACATCTGTTTTGCCCGTGACCGTAACTGTGAGTGATCCCTCCCTGTCCTTGTCTCAACCCAGGAGGTTTTACCTTTGTTTTATTCTGATTCTCCTCCCCATCCCACGGGGGGTGGTGAGGAGTGAGTGAGCAGCTGCATGGTGCTTATCACTGGATGGGCCTAAATCATGACTAAATCTCCTTGTAGTATAGTGTTTCTATGAGATCCAAAAATACAAGTCAGAGCTAAAATATTTTGGAAACTTCTTACTTTCTGTCATTTTTGCTTATTCCTGTTGTGACACCAATCCTACATTGGCACTGATCCACACTGTGCTTCTGGCTCTTACAGCAGACAGTTACTCACTGTTCGTGCCTTTTACTGAGTGTGTGGCAAGTTTTAATCCTGTAAGCACAGCCCCAAGAGCAAACGTTTGTAGCAAGGCAGTGCCGTAGAAGGGTAGGAAGGTGTGCTGGTGTAGACACCACTTGTGGGTCTGTTCACATCATTTCTAGAGGCAAAAATCCCTTTTGCTAGCCCTGAGTATTTGCCTATTCAGAAATACTTCAACGTTAAAGTCATCACCACTCTAAGACTGAAAGCTGCCCGAAGTTCACATCCAGGCCTGATGAAGAAATTTGCAGAAGGGGTTGGATGCAGTCTGCAACAGAGCACTCACTCCACATCTCTGAACTGCCATACAGGTAATGGCATGTAACACTGTGCCTTACAGTCAAACCCATAATCATCTCGCTCTTCAGTTTAGCTGCATTACAACTAGACATCTAGAAAGAACAAAAACAAGATTCAGAGAAATCTGCAAATGTTCTGTAGAGTAGGCACCAACCCTTTACTCAGCCAAAGGCCCTGGATCCCCAAACTGTTTTTGTTTAACTAATAGGCATTCATTGGGCCACAGGAGCAAGCAAGCTTCTGTTCTTCAACCCCAGTTAGGTTAGGGAACTTTCCTTCCCGGAAAAAAAAAAAAAAGAAAAAAGAAAAAAAAGAAAATTATTCTGAGACTGCTTCAGGGAATGGCAAAAGATCATGAGCAATTATTTGATTATTATGACATGAGTGTCATCTTTTTGCTTTGTAGGTAAAGAATAACGCAGTGATGTGATAATTCATTTAGACCACTAAATGCAGCCGTAAAGCAGGCAAACAAACAAATAACACTAATCAGAAGAATCACTGCCAGTAGTCTCAAAGCTATGTGTATTATCGTATCACTTTTCCAGAGGAGTTGTTATATGACTTTTAAACTTTCCTCAGTCTGAATTTTAGTAGTGATTAACTAAGCTTAAGGGCAGTGTTTCAGCAACTTGATTTTAATATCTGCATAGGCTTTGAGTGACAAGAAAAAAATCACACCCTTTATCAGTGGTAACATTTTGGCCAGTAAAGTTAAAAAACTGGCTAATTCAATTTATTCAATGAAATGCATGCATGCAATTAATACGTGTTTTCAGAAGACAGTCCATTGGATGGAACTATGAGATAGCCATTGCTTTTCATTGAAATCTTTAGATACAGTTACCTCTCCCAAGCTAGGCTGAGAATATATAATTACATGTAGAAGACGACTGGCATAGGGTATGATGCATTAGCAAGTAGTGCATCCTAAGAGGATTTATGTAACAAAATAGCTGGTGTGATAGAACAGAGATCTGAGAAGAGGGTACTTTGGTCTTTAATCTGGTCCATGGACTGGATGCCTGGATGTAGCTGGAGCATTGCAGAGGCAGCAGATAAACCTTCCAGTTCAGTCTGAGGCTGCAAGAGTCTAGGAACCACCCTGTGATGTGACTCACAGCACAGCAAGTGGGGACAAACAGGCGATTTGCTTTGAAGGCACACTCCTGAGTTAGACTAAAACATTCATTATTTGCCCCCATATTGCCATTCATCGCACTAACAATTCTCTTTTAAACAAGGACTTGGCAAGGACTTTTATATTTAACAAAATAAATAGCTGATGTAGCACATGAAAGGCTTTACTGGTGCTGAGAAGGTACATACATTTCATCTGAGTTAATTCCAGTGTTTTTACTGAAAACCAAATCCTGAAGCCTCCATTCACAGCAGCTTTTTCTTTAAGAGGTTCTATTTAAATCATTGAAGTTATTTTCTGTGGAATGAACTCTGTTGCTAAATATGTGTAAGCTATACTAATATTTAGACTCCAAGAAGAAAAACAAGAAAAAACATATTATTTGTAAAAACACTGTACCTAAGTACAACATTAAGCAAAATGTCCAAGACTTTGGAAATTTTCTAATCTACATAATATTATAGGCCCAGAAATTATTGCTTTATTGTTGTTCCACAGAATTCATGTAATGAAACCTGTAGTAAAATTTTATTAATTTACTACTAATATAAAATATTAATTTTGTGTCATCACCCCTAGAGGTTTTTAAAAGTCATGCAGATGTGGCACTTAGGGACATGGTTCAATGGTGGACCTGGCAGTGTTAGGTTGTTTAGAGTTGAACTCAATGATTCTAGAGATCTTATCCAACCTAAATGATTCTATGATTCTGTGATTTTCAGAGACAAAAAGCTGTAAATGCAATTTGCGTTTCAATTTGGATTAAAAAAGCACAAATACAAGTCTTGCTGAAATCAGTGGTAGAAAAGATATAGTAAAGATTTGGGTATAAGTCAGCATTTTAATAGTCTTTAAAACTAACTATTCTTTAAAGTTTTATGTGTTACTCACGTAACTCCCTGAAGCAGGATTTGCTGTGAAGCATGTGATGGAAAAGCTTGCACAAAGGCTGCTCTGCGAGAGGCAAATTCTGGCAGGTACACTCCACACGCAGGATCGTGCCCCAGGTGCTGATGTAGGCTGCTTTGCAATCAGCATTTACAGAACAGGGCATGTCATCCTTGATTAAAGTTTCAAGACAAGCTTCATCATCGTAGCATTTTTTTGTCACATATCTCCAACACTTTGACCGAAATGCTGTGTATTTTTTCCTGGTGGAAAAAAAAAAAAAATGTATACAAAGAGAGTTTAAAACACTGTGATTTCACAAAAAGACATTTAAGGATCATCATAAAAATAGAGTGTGTTCCCAAGGCACCATTTAAGCCTTAAAAATCACAATATTCTGTGATAGCTAACCTAAGTTCTTCTCTGTTTTGTAACTAATTTGTTTGAGTGAAACCACAAAATTGTAATTTGAGAAAAACTTCATTTTTCTGAAAAAGTTTTCGAGAAAAAGCAACTGCACTTATAATCAGCACCTGTGAAGATTTTCCCAGGGTTGATCAAAAATCAGTGTGAATACAAACAGTCTCAAATCCTCAGAGAAGAAATGAGGACAGAGGAACAGACCAGTCATCACACTGATACCAAAGCAAGTGTGGTTCTAGTGAACCAGTTTGTTAGGCAATGTGAAGGAAGAATGAACATTCAACTTATTTTACATAAAATAATCTATATCCAATGCAATACTCTCCTCCCCCTGAATGCTAACAAAATGCAAAATGTCCAAGGCTCAGGAAAAATTAGAAGTAATTCAATTGCACATATTAGACCTTAAAGATTAATTGATAATGAAGATAAGTTGCGAGAAGCATTAACTTGTTTCACAACTCAATAACCTCAAATTATTTCAGTTTATTTGCTCTTAGGATAGAATAAATTTAGCTTTTAATGCACTGTGTATGACAGTAGAAAACATCTACTAAAAGTTAACTAAGAAATCTGTAGATATTGATTAGAAACCAATTTATCACTTAAGTGTTATGGGACAATAAAGGTAAACTGTTGCTGTATGTTGTACATTAATACATTAAAACATGCTTTCCTTAATCATAAAATTGGTCTATTAATTTACTGTTGATATTGTGTAGCTGTTACAAACAAGTCACACGGAAAAGCATGGACTGTTAGAATACCAGCTAGGACATTATTGTAAATATTTTCATTACACAAGCAAAAGTTTCAAAGCAGATGCCACCTCTGTGCTAATGGAACTATTTTTCTTCACCTCCTGATTTATAGTTATGGCTAGCCATAATTCACAGACTAATTTTGCTAATTATAACCACTTATTGTCAGTGCCAGGGAACATTAATATTCCCAAAATAAGGAGTAATTCAGCAAGTCTCCATTGTGATATTACATGTGTACACATGCACACGCACAGACATACATTTGTAGCCCAATTCTTCTTGGCATAAAAATGGGCAGTTCCCATTGCCATCAACCTGAATAGCCTGAGCAGGGCTGTAAGTGTTTCTTGGCCTCCTGGTTTGTTGCCTGAAGGTTAATTTGAGCACAGCCTTGGGGTAAAATTCAGGTCTAATCCACAGGGGAACTGGTGACTACACTGAAGACCAAAGTGGGCCAATTGGCCATCCACAAATGGGAATGGCAATTAAGTAGAATTATGAATATGGGCTAATCCTGTTGCGTGTTTTCTAAAACAAAATCAAACCTGAACACTGCATTATTCTTCATGAGTTTGGTGGTCTGTGTGTGTTTTGGGGCAGCTTTTTTTTCGAGTATCAGTATGCTTGAAATGAAAAGAATAAGACAACAGTTTTCTGAACGGGCCAAGTTGGTTTTATGGCCGTTGGGTACAAAGGGTCAGACTGCAGTGGAAGAGGTAATTACTTTAACCAAACAAACTTCTTCCAGTCTGCTGCACAATTTGTGCAAACTGCTAAAGGGCAAAGGTGCAGTCTGGCAGGTGCTATCTGAAGAAAGTGGAAATGAAAATATGCAACTGCATAGTTTGATGGGGAAAATGGTGTTAAGAGTCATGAAAGAGGCAGAAGAAAAGCCCACACTAAATTCCAGACCGTTCTGAAAATGAGCCTGTTCAGTTTACTCGTGGAATTACTTGTGGAGTTGCCACAGCTGATGCAGACATCTGTGAAGATGTCAAACACATGTGATGAGATGCAGTAGATACAGCGCAGAAAATAATTTTGCTATAGATGATATATATGGCATATATATAATAATTATTTGATCAACTCGTTATTCAGAGGCACATTACTAGGCAAAATCTTTCTTCTGCTTACCTGCACAATTCATTCTCTTCACACATGTGGATTACATTCAGACATGACGGGGGTGGAACCGCAGTAATTGCACAGGACTTGCCATGGAGAAGTTCTTTGGCTCTGTGGCAGGATTCATCAGGCTGCATACAATCACAAAATGTCATCATCTGGGCAACTTCAAAAGGCATGTTTCCATAGAAGAACCTTATGGCTGCTTGACATTCTTCCATGTTGCACTTCTTGTTTACTGAGCAAACCTTAAGGTACCTGGACAGCTGTTTGTTACATACTTCATCTTCAACACACTCCTTGTTCACATCCAAACAGGTTCTGTTTGCTGTGTATGCTAAAAAGAACAACAGTTTTTAAAATGAAATCACAAGATAACCTTTCTCAAGTGATGATTGGTAGTCACCCTGCCTGCAACATTCCTGTTAAAAACAAGTTTGACTCCCCGAAACTCTGATCCAGCTCTTTCAGCATTGCCTCATTTAAGCCCATTGTGTCATCTTCATACTTCTCCCTTCCACTGCTTGGCCCTCACAGGTAACCCTCCTGCAAGTTTCTGCCCCTCAGATAACTAAGCGAGAAGAAAGTGAAAAGGGGGAAGATGGAAGTTTCTTTGTGCTATGTAACAGTTTCTGGAAGGTGGTGGCTGGAGGGTACCTGAATGTGATTAAATTTCCGCATACCGTCTTATTCTAGGCTACATGCTAATTGATGGAGAAGAGAGTATAGGGCATTTCTGGGCTTTTAAAGCTAGTTTAGGTATTTCTAGCATATGCTATAAACCTTCCAAAAAGATCTAGAAAACTCTGACCCTAAAATGTTTATGGGATAAGATTTGCGTCTGTAAATTTAACAGGATCAGGATTGTCACCTGACGTTTTTTGATTCTTATCTACCCAGTAGCTTAATTGAAAATATGTTGGACCTGTTGACTCCCTGTTCTTCAGTAATTTGAATGAAAAGTATTCATTTTAATCTTGAGATACATTGCACACTATCTGAAAACAGATCTAAAAGCAGTTATTAGGATTCGTAAGTAAGTTCAGACTTACCTTGCTTGGGGAGAGCAGATAAACTCCATTGTAGTTTTGTTTCCATACTAATATTGTCTAGAACAAAAAGACACAGGTATAGGCATAAGCAGCAGTGAAAAGTCATGTCTTAGCTCGGTTTTTACCTTTAAAGTATTGACTGTGTTGCTGGCATAATGCCAGTGGTAAAAATAAACAAGAATAAAATAAATCATCTTGACCTGTCAACTTGTTTTAATAAACTCTAGAAGTGTTGTTACATATATTCACAAGTTTTGTGGTGAAAGCACTGTTTCTCCATGGCTGCTAGAAATGTTCTCTACATAATTATAGACCCTGTGAGCTCAAGAGTAGTTTTTAGAGCTGCTCAGTGCAGTATAAAGTCAGGTTTCCTGTGAACAAATAAAGGCCACAAGCCTTAATGTGTTAATCAGTGCATCCAGTTTTCAAACTCAACTGCTTGTCAAGGTCTAAAGTCAAGGCAGGCAAAAAATTCTTGCTACTGGAAAATTGTTATTATTGGTCTTCTACTGTTTCTAGTTATAGGGTAATACTAAATGGGACTGATTTGGATCAGGTTGTATCAAATTAACACCTGGAAGGACAATAGTATTAGCATGCAGGCTACGATTTTGCTATCAGATTATCCATTTGGATCTAAACTATCTTAAAATAAAATTGTCTTGTTTCCAATGTTAAACTGCAAATGATTAAGGAAATATTTTCACAGACTTGTGCACAGTGCTCTTATGTATGAAACATTCATATTGCTGGAATACCGCTAACCTGTGTCAGTGTCCTGATTTTTCTCATCGTCAACTTCATCATCGTCGTCATCGTCATTTTCACTAGCTGCTGAAGCTAGGCTCTCTTGAGAGTATTGTAAACAAGGGTTGTTAAATATTCCCTTCCATATTTTAACACACTTCATCTGAAGTGGCTCTGAGCACTTGCACTCTCCCAGCACTGTTTTCCTCAGTTCTCTCCACTCTGACAAACACTCCTGGTTGACCGTCAGGAGCCTGCATTTTGCTGAGTCCACCTGGCACGCGCGCTGGAACCTCTTGTACACTAGAAAACAGTCACGATCCTCTCGACAGCGTTGTTTTGCAATACTGCAGTCATTCTCTAGTTCTTCTGGGTGTCTTTGGTCTTTGGGGTTCCTCTGTTGCCTAAAACTCAGTTCAGTATCCGATCTTGAGGAAGTTTCCAAATATTCTGTACAAATAGAGATATAAATCAAATGGAAGATGAAGAATCATTACTGGTCAGCTTGAAACAAACTCAGAAAAAGGATAATTGTCTTAATGCAATAAAATGAATGAAACAGCCCTGTTTCATTCTGAGCTGTATGTAAATACATAATCATTTCAGAGTCTTGCAGACTGACGAATCTTCCTCATGCTTACTGTGTCCATATAATGCAGTCTACTTTAACAATTCAGCTGCTAACAGTAATATGAGAAACCCTCACTAAAGGGGTTAATCTCACATAACTTTAACCACTTACAGATTGAACATATGATGTATTATCATCTTAATTCAATGCATAATTTGAGAAGAGAGAATGGCAATTCCTGAAGATGGTTCATTCATTACCTAAAATGGTTGTCTAAGTTAGACAGGGACAATTACTCCTGAAAGTATAACAACACCATCAGCTGTCATCTGTAGTTAAAACTGATACCAGTTTAACTCCATCCAAACTTTTTGCTATACTGATGAGAAATGTAATCTTAACCAGCAAAAAATATCAAATTACTTCATTTTGCTAGAAGCAAAAGCAACTGTTTGATGACATCAGCACCAGGTTTTAGATACCCCCTCTTCTTGTTTGGGGCAAGGAGTAACAGATTGGGGTGTTATTATTTCCTCTGCAATAAAGCCATATATTCTACTGCTATATGATGTACGCTGCTTCATACCAGCTGATTGATACAGTGATGGGTCAATGTCAGGAATCCGCCTCGGGGCTCACTTTAGAGACTGTCATTCACTGGCTGGTTTTACTGGTCTTATGTCAGCTTTGCTAATCATTACTCCAGGAGACATTGGATCGGAAACTGCAAGACTTTCATGCACCAAGTAATTCTCAATTATAGAGAAAGGCTTTCTGAATGGCAAAGAGTTATCAGAAGAATAAAAGATTACTATATATTACTGATTACTATATAATTTTTTAAAGTATGCATTTTAGATATTATCTACAGTTTTATGAAAGTAGTAACAGTGTTTTCCATGTCCAGCAACTTCTAGATGTAGTGAAGATGTTCCTGTAACACAATGTGACACAACTTCACAGCTGTGCATCCCCATTCACCTACAGTCCCGCTCACAAGGTGGCTGGATGTGGCACTCTACACGTAACATAGATCCAGTGGCGTTCACGCCTCCTAGGGCAACAAGTAGCCCTCACCACACATCATATTTTCACTCTTGCTTTCCGCTGGACTGAGCAAGAGCTTTAGAAACCATTTAAATTTCTCACATGCATTTTATTGGTTTTGTTTAATTTAAAGCAGATATGGATTGCTTTCATATACATGTTGGAGTGTGAATATCATAGAAAAGACAAACCTAAGGTTTTTTTTGAATTATCAGATTTAAGAAATATGCAAAGAAACTTGAATCCAGTTAAAATGAGGGTTACAAAATTATATATATTTTTTTGCTCTTCATAATTAAAACTTTACGGTTAGTTACCTTTATTAATGCTGCACTGTTTCTCAAGGAAAATCGTGATGCTACAGAAATCATCTGTAGTGCAGACACAGTTTTTAAATTCTGGGTATTCATCAGCCAGGATCTGGATGATTCTGTTACATCCAATAGCGTCTTCTGCCTTGCATCTATTACCTAGAACTCACCATTAAAATTATAATGCTGTTAATGCTTATGAATGCTTAAGGGACATGTTTACATAAAACAATTGAAGCACAAAAATAACATGTTTTGCTAAGAGAAAACTGTTTGAACTTGGTTTTGTTTGAAAACCTGTAATAATTCACAAATTTTAAATTATATTCAGAGTAATATAATAAAGTTGTGGGCACAATGTTACCTTCTTTTTTTCGATCTGACCTATTGCCAGAATGTCTGTTTCTGTTCTCATTTTGAAAGTCCATAAAACCTCAAACTCACACATTTTGTTCTATGTAGATGAGGCACGGAGATCAAACTAAAAAGTTGCACAGAGTCGAGGGGCACATCCTGAATTGAGGCACTGGGACATTCATCTTGGTCCTGTGTAGAAATGAGGTGCCTGATACGGGGATGGGAATTCACAACACAGGCTAAGGTACTGGATGGAGTATGAGAGGGGACGTAGGAGAGCGGGTGCAGTCCTGTGATAATGGTGGTGCTAAACCCATATCCTGAGGGCTGCCAGCTCTTCTCCAGATCCCTCACGTGAGGATGGTATGAGCCTATAGATGCCTGGCCATTTGGATATGCCCTCTGACTGCTACCCTATAGAACAACTTCACTGCCTAAGTATGTCAGTCACAACAAAATTTTAAGTAGCCCAAGAATATTCTGATTTCTTTTTTTTTTTAATAATAAAAATAAAGGATAAATTGACATTTAAAAAGTATGCAGAAGCTTTAGTTTTCCAGTCCAGTTTCAAGCCTGTTGCTTGCGTGTGCACTTGGACTCAAGGACAAAGGCACTCACACAGGCTGTCAGCTCACATTTTCCTTGTATGCATAGAAATAATAAAGAGCATGTACTAGTTTGTGGTACAAAGGTAAACTAATCAGCCCTCTACTTTATGGACTAAAAGGTTTTAAAAGCATTTCATTACTTATTATTGACTAAGAAAGTTACAAGTTGCTTAAGAAAGTTACAAGTTGCTTCAGAAAGTCACAAGTTGCTTCAGAAAGTCACTGGTTACTTGGGAAAGTTACAGAAGAAGCAGATGAATACCATTTAAGAAAGTTGTATTTTGTAGAAGTTATTGTCTGCCATATCAAAACAGGTACGCACATCCCCAAACAGGCACATTTCCTCTCCTCGCCTCCTAGATGCTAAGTCACAATCTGTAGGACAAGGAGTATGTGGCTCACAGGATCCAGGCTGGTCATAGGGCAGCATGAGGATCAGTTTTAATCTACTGAGCACACATGCTGTTGTCTCTGCCTGTCAACGGTGATATCTGGCTTCCTGCCTTGCTGCTTCCCCGGTGACTAGCACGGAGCAGCAGAGACTGTGCGCTCTAGGAAAACTGCAAACCTAGCAGCCATGTGTCACCGCTGCCATGGACAAGCTTTAATGTGATTAGAGCTTTAATGTGATTTATATATTGTTGACACAAATAGCAGCAGAAGGCAGTCTAGGCAAAGGCCTGCAGGGGGAAACACTGCATTTTGCCTGTGCCTGAAGGAATGAGTATTAGCTTGTTCCAGAGCACCCATCCCCAACCTGCCACCCCAAAATCCTTTCTCAGTGTCTGCGTTGCCCTCCTCTAGTTGCTATTGCTGACTAAGGAGGGTTTGGGGATGTATTAAAATGTGCACTGCTACAGGGGGATGTTGCAGTCCAGCAAGAGCTACGGTTCCCAGCCTCTGCTCCCACTCCACCTCTTGCATCAGCAACGGAGGAAGAGATGGTGCCCAGGCTTGCCTGTATCTCTCCAATCCCATCTCCAACTTGCCTTCTGCATTTTTAGAAGCAGAACATGACCTTGACCCTTAGCCCTCACATTTCTTTCTTTTTCCAGTAGTCAAGGAGCTCAGGACATCTACTGAAGGCCATAGACATGGGACACCCCTTGATCATAAAAATGGGACAGAAAATGTGTGGTGAAATGGGAACTATGGTATGGAGGCCCATGGAGGTGGGTGGATATTCTACTCAAGTGAGTAAGGGATAATAAAGGAATTTCAGGAAACAATTTCAGGAGGACAAATTCCAGGAGTAGAAAAAGAGCAACAAAGATCAGGAGGAGCTTGTGTAATAATTAGCTAATTTACAAAATTTGTGACTGCCTTCTTCAAGGTCCTGAGGACATTTCAAGGGTGGAGGTGAGTAGAAATAGGAGAAAAAGAAACACAAAATCCCAGTATATTTTATGCAGCACTCTAGCCACACTTAGCTCATCTGCCTTCATGATGCTGCCAAGTTGCAGTTGGGAGTTCAGAGTGGCCCTGTGTGTGGTGAACACCCTGCACTGAACCACAGCAGCTGACAGCCAGGGGGTGTGGGGCTATGAACACACAAAAGGCACAAACAGAATCAGGAAGCACATCAGATTTATGGGGTTCCCTTGTCCGACCTCTTGAAAGCTGTGTAGAAATAACCTATTATCACTATTGGTCTGTTTGTACACTGTGTTGATTCAGCTGTGATGAACAGCAGAAAACATTTTATTGCTGGTTTTCAATTATTGTTGCTTTACCATTGATTAGTTCTAGGTAATACATTTTAACTTATACATATGCTTCCAAGGCATTTACAAAAAATGCTCTCTGACCTAGTGCTTGGCAGCCATTATTCATAATTCAAGTCATTTGTATGTACATACTTTGTGTACATTGGACCACAGATAGAAACATGACAGAATAGAAGCTGACACTTCCAGGCTCTGTTCTTGCACAGTTAGTTCTTCAGTCATCTCAGTGGGAATTGTATCCGAAGACTGAAGGGGAAAGTACTGGATTTTCCTCTCTTAACACTGGTGAGACCACATCTGGAGTGCTGTGTCCAGTGCTGGGTTTCTGAGGATGAGAGGGACATAGACATACTAGAGTGGCTCCTGCAAAGTGCCACAGATGTGATTAATGGACTGGAACATCTCTCCTATGAAGAGAGACTGGGAGAGCTGGGATTGCTCTGCCTAGAAGAGAGAAGGCCCAGGGGCGTACCAACACACATGTCTATGTTCCACCTGGTGGGAGGGGAATGAATAGGGCAGGGGCAGACTCCGCAGTGATATCCAGTGACAGGACAAGGGATTCAAACTGAAGTGCAAGAAATTCCATTTAAAGGTCAGAAAAAACTTTTTTTAATATGAGGGCGGCCTACCAGCAGAAGAGGTTTCCCAGTGGGGTTTTGGTGCCTCCATCATTGGACATATCCAAAATCCAACAGGGCATAGTCCTGGAGGACAGCCTGCAGTTGACTCTGCCTGAGCAGGGGGTTTGGACTAGATCTCCAAAGGTCCCTTCTAACCAAAATGATTCTGTTACTCTACAAGAAATAAACTCTTCCAAATCTAATTCAAAATGTGATTCCTTAATATTTAAGTGGTCTGAGGTTTTTTTCTTCTGAACCCAGATGTTTCCAGTTCTGAAAAATTAAGAAAATGTATACTATTGATTAAATCAGAGTTCAAGCATTTCTATTTTTTTAGTGAAATAACACAAAACCCCAAAGCTTAAAATCTCCATTCTGCAGTGATGAAACATTTTTGACATTTTCAAAGTGAAAACTTTTGACTCCATCAACATTAAATATTTCAGTCTTTTCCATCCTGACCTGGAAGCTATCTCATAGACATTTTCACCCCCTCCTTTTTTTTTTTTCTTTCCACTTGGCACAGAAGAGGAAGTGGAAGAAGGATTGGACTGAGAGGACTACAAACTGAATATCTGAAAATGCTGCAGTAGTAGGAGGTGAGCAGTGATGGACAGTTAGACAGAGAAAGGAGTGACTTAGGCAGTCATGTGGAGACTGTCCCCAGACCTGCTCTGAAGAAGAAAAGATGGACGTCTTGATAATGCACACATTCAACTTACATCCTTAGGAACTGAGTTATTGAACTCATACTACAGAGTAGGAGTGTAATTATCACCTGTAGTTAGGTTTTTCATAAAGAAACTAGCAAAAGGAATGTTTGCCCCACATTATGCGACAACTCAATAAATCCAAAGGGGGGACCACAGAAGTTGTCATGCTGGCCCACTTCATCTAGTTGCAGGGTATGATGAAGAATAGGCCACAGTACAAATCCTGATCTTTATGTCAAGTAGTCTTGGTGCTAATGCCTTTGTGAATGATGTGAGAGAAGGAAATTCAACTTCTTCTGATTTGGGGAATAGGCTTGGTTCTAGAGAGCTCATCTTTAGGTCACTGTCTTGAGCCTGAAAGTCCTACATATTCCAATACTTTTTTTCAAACATCAGCCACAACTTTTGAAACTGTTCTACTTCACATAAAATATTTAAAAACTCAATAGGACATGAACTGAAACCCAGTTCCTTTGAGGACTGTTGTAAACATTAGGTTATCATGTATTTTTCATTTACTCTGTCTGTTCTTAAAAGTATTGAGCCATTCTATGCATAACAGATATGCATCTGGAACAGGACACACTAAGAAGGACCCCTCAGAGAATTTTTTGCTCTATCTCCTTTAAATACTACCTTGTGACTTGGGACACTTGGGTCCAAATCTCTGCAGCAAATCAGCCACACAGAGGCACTCAGGTAGGGCACATTGCGGGTGAATGCTTTAGCAATGGCCTACTGACCATGAAGTCAGGCAGCATCTTCTGCTACCTGGCTTCCCACACAGACCAAACGTGAGACTGGGTTCTGATATCAAAACAGACAGAGGGACATTCACTTTATCAACTCTGCTGCAGCTGAGGCTCAGAACAGATTACGGCTTCAGGACATGGCTGGTTTTGCTCAAACAATGTCAATATAGGAAGATGAGAGGTTTCCATGGAGATATAGATACCCCTGATTCCCACAGATGGAGAACCTGCCTTATGGACTTAAGCCGCTAAAAATGGCAGTTATGTACCTAAATATCCTTGGCTGCATTTGTGAACAAGACCAAGCCATGGGCTAGGCTAATGGCAAGTGATTGTATCTATATGTTGCACTTTTGCATGGTACCTAGCCTGGATTGAGCCAGCTAGACTGTGAAAATAACATGGGCCTGGAGTCACTCCCAAAAGGCAGTTTTGTGCAGCCAGCATGGGGGTAAGACAGTTTAGTTGTATGGATACCTGGTGCCCCATGTCAGCTGAAATCAGGGCCAGAAAATAGCCTCTGGCCCATTTTATTTGCTAGTACTGGTGTAACCTTGGCAGATGAAGGCCATTAACACTTATCAGTCAACAAAAGTGTCGTTAAGAACTTGGTCTAATGACACTGCCTCACTGTACTGCCACTTTTCTTCTCCCTTCCATATTCACAGCACCTGGCAAGTGAATACTCAACATTTAACAGAAAGGTCTTGGAGAGTTTTATTTTCTCTAAAGAAAAGACTTTAAAGAGAGAGATGGTGACTGATACCCAAGATTTGTTCAGGAAGATAATGGGCCTTTGGAGAAAGGGACACTTATTTCAGGTCAAACTTATGATATGTGATCTTCCCCCACTTAAAACATACTTCACTTGGAAATGATGCACCAAAAGTTGGAAGTGTGATACACAGAGACAGAGACTGATTTTCTACTTTAATTTATGTGAAAATCTGTTTAACAATTCAAGGAGACTCAGTCACATTGTAACCTGCACTTTATTTTACCATCACTCTCTGCATGTGAATCACTCTGACATGCAGGTACTATTCACTGAATAAATACAGTGTGCCTCCCTATGACACAACTTTCTTTGAGACATACTTTACTTGATTTGTTTCTTATTCTAATACAATATTTGAAAAATATTCTAAGTAACTACTACATTGTTTTTGGTACTGTGCAAGATCATAGGATCACAGAATCACAGAATGGTTTGGGTTGGAAAGGACCTTAAAGATCATCGAGTTCCAACCCCCCTGCCATGGGCAGGGACACCCTCCACTAGACCAGGATGCTCAAAACCTCACCCAACCTGGCCTTGAACACTTCCAGGGAGGGGGGCACATCAACTCCTCCGAATTATGGAAAACAAAGTTGGAAATCTTTCCCAGCTGCATGCTGACTTTGTTTAACAGGATCCTGCAAGAACATGATTTCTGCTGAATTCAGACTTGAGTTGGTTCAGACTCTGATTTTGTTCATAGTCCAGAAATATCATTTGTCACTTCATTGAAGAGACAGTGTGTGACTGTTACTGAAAATAGTATTGGCCGTTGTCAAGGATTTTAGAAGTTGACTATTTTCTGCCATTATTTTCTCCTGGAATCTCACTGACTTCATTCAGTTACCACAGCGATATTATGATAGACTATGACTATGCAACCATTCAGCAATTTAAAATAAAGCTGTTAACACCGTAAAGAATTACCTGAAATATTGCAGACATCTTCAACAACATTCCAGACACTCTCGCATCCATTTGCAGCATTTAGACATTGCTCCTTCAAGTGCAGACAGTCAGTAGTCTGGGCAGTAGATATACTTGTGAAGTACATGACTAACGCTGTAAAAACAGAATATAATGACTGATACAATAGATATTTTACTGACCTTTTTCATTGACACTGAGATGATAACAATATAATATAGTTTATCTATATATTCAAATTTTCTACCAAGTTACTTTATCATAGAATAAATCTTATCCTCAGTTTCACAACTGGAAAATTAAATCTAAATTGTGAATTTTCAAAGTTGCAGTGTGGTATATTTTGTATTGGTTTTAACGCAGTATTACAGCATCAACCATAGCTATATATGACATTAGTCCATAGATATATATAAAGGACTGCAATTCTGGGATCTATAATAAATTATAGAAAGGAGACAGCACAAAATTCAGAGAGAACAGCGTTTTATTTGGACTGCAATTTCATCAAGCTAGAGACTATGCAGGAATTCCTACGACTAGACCATGTGAACGAGATGTAACAGCTACACAGCTGTTAGATAATAAATGAGATTTTATTTAACAATACAGTACTCTTCACCCTCTTTGTTTTTACTTCACGGATGCATGATTTCTTGAAACAACCACTACATTTATGTCTTTATCTGCTTCCCTGAGTGCACTGAACCTAAAGGCCATGTTAATTGCATAAAACAGTTCTGAAGCTGAATATTGATAAGGAGATTTCAAGGTAAAGAATGTAAAATAAGCACCACCTCTGGCTTATCAGTAGAAAATTGAATTGCCTTGCCAAGAAAAGACAAATCAGTTGGAGTTTAGTTCTTTCATCAAGATTCCTGTGGTAACAAAACCTCTAATTTGTAACCAAGTGTCTTAATTTTCTGTAAAATTAAGCTTCAGACACTGGTTTTAGGCCTTATCAAACTAGCTGCTGAGCACCTGATGGTTGTGTTTTCCTAAGGTATTGAAGGACACAGCATCTCCAAGACCAAGACTCTTCTTTTTCCTTGTGTTCAGGCAAGTTCATATGCAATTTCAGGAATTTCCAGCACTGTTTAATTCCTTAAACATAATCTGCAAGCGTCATGAAAATATTTCCTCAGGACTTGTCTAGACCCTATCCAGAGAAATGAAATGTTTCCAATTATATATTTGAGAAATAAGAAATGAAATATCAAATATCACTCTTAATAATCTGAAAGAGCCACAGCTTTTCAGAGGCGATGCCATCCCTTCTGGAAATGATGCTTACCTGTGATATAATAGTGCTGCTGCAGGGAACGCTTTCTGGATGCATGTTGATAAAGATGAAGCAACATTCAATACTTCACAACTGACAGGTGCAATAGCATCTAGTGTGCCTCAGAGACACAGAAGAGGCCACACGTGCTTACCATAAGAGAGTGAATGGAGCTGGTGCTAATCTTTTCCCAGTTGTGCATATTCCTGCCAGTTCTCAGGTCTATGCAGGGCTGGTTGTGATTTCAATGATTTCAGATGCAGATGTAGGCTGCATCTGTCGGTCAGCCTGGAAGACTGGTTGATAGAAACGGCTGCTGCCACTTGACATTGAGGAAAGTGAAGCTGGCCCATCCATAGGGACAGTTTTGTCTCATTATGAAAACATATTACTTTGTCTCTCTCCAAAAGTTCTTTCAGTTTGTGAAATTACTCACTATTGATTCAGATGACAGAGAAAAAAAATTGTTGCCAAATACCTTACAGGTGAAGATGACTGTACATATAAGACAATACAAAATTACAAACCCAAGAACTTTTTAAGAAAAAGTATTTTGCTGGATGACCGTTTACCTATTTTGTAGGTACTAACACAACAGCAGATTTACGCATCTGATTAGGATCCACAGCACAAAGACTCAGTGCTGTCTCTCTCCTGTTAAGACAGTTTTTCAGAACCAGTGGCTGAAAATGAATAGACAAAGTAGGACTGATTGAGCAGCCAACTAGCAGCTCCTGCTCCTTTGTAAGGATTATTTCAGAGTGCGTCTATTGCGAACCTGCATGGAAACTGTGCCCACAAAAAGGCGAAGGTGCTTTTGCAAAATAAAGACCTGAGTGGCATAATCTATGATTGAAGCTAATTCAGTCTAAGACAGAGATTCTCTAGATCTAAAGACGTATTATGGTTGGGTCTTTTGTTTCCTCAGTAGTACACTGGGGGCGTATTGTGGCAAGCTTACCTGAAATGAAGGGGCCTATATGATTTTAGAATCAAGTGCACTGTAGCTTATACAATTGCTTAAATTGGCAGCTATTGCTTTAGTCATTCATTTTAGTTATTTACCCTAGTGTTTGGAGTACTAAGCAACTGTTTTCTACTTGGAAGAGTTCAGGGCATCTAAGAGTCAGTTTTTAGCTAAAACTTTTAGAGGGATCTATTTTTGATATGAAGATATAATTTTAGATTTCTACAAGTGTCTGTGTTTTTGTACAGGTGCCTGTTGATTCAACTGGGTTGGTGTAAAATCCCCTGTTCTGAAGAATTTGGTGTTTAAAGTGAAAGGGTGGGGGGAAAGGATGTTTTAGCGTCTTCATTTTGCAAATTGGGAACAGAAGCACAGGAGTTAAAGTGTCTATCCCAAGATTACATAGCTATTATCTGGCAGATAACAATGAATAATGGGAAACCAAGCTGTGGTTTCTATCCGACTGCAAGAGCAGCAAGATAGCTAGCTCCAAAAGAGAAAAGCAAACTTTAGTTTGAATATAGCTTGGATACAGTCGAAATGTGATAAATAATATCTTCATTACAATAAAAACTGGGGCAGAATTACCTACAGAATGTTTTAAACAGTGGAATATGAGTTTAGAATAGTGGGATGTTAAAGAGAGAAGCAGAAGGTGTACAATATGTAGAGGGGGAAAGGAGGATAAAATAAATTTAAAAATACTTGTCTCCTACTCTCTTCTACCAATTCCTTCCATACCAGCTTTGTTGATTTTCCCTTTTCCTCGACTCAAACCCAAACGGAAATGTCAGTCACCCTCTGGGTAGCACTGCCAGCATTAAGTACGTTCCACTTAAAAAACAAATGTCTGTTTATTTAGACAAGGCATCCCACTTGTTGGTTTCTTCGAGAGTTCAACTTCTTATTAGTGCCGGCCCTGCTCCCCTGCCTTACCTCCCGCTTCAGACACGCTACCCGGAGCCAGGCTGGAGACGTTCGTGCCGAGCCCCAGGGCCAGGACCTCGCAGGCTGGTGCGACCCCCCGACAGGCACCTGCTCGCCCCCGCCTAGAGGCACCCCGGGAGAAGGAGCAAGGGGACGGACCCGTAAGGAGAACGCCCGGCACGGAGAGGGAGAAGTGTGGGTCCCGGCGAGGCCGGGGGCTGCCCCCTCCCTCCAGCCCCCCTCCGCACTTACCGA